ACACAAAGAGTTCCGCAGCGCATTGTGGGAGATCCAAGGAACAGAACCCCTAAAAAAAACTATCTGCATTTTGCACAGTGTAATTCCAATGTGGGAAACCCCCAATTCTTAACCTACCTTGTGGGGATGGGTCTTACCCATTTCTGATGATTTATGGTGATTTGGGGGATGGTTTATTGGGTTTAGCACATTAACTTCAGATAATGTTACCATTTAGAATTTAGAAAGTCTTCGGATAGTTTGAGGATGGGCCACCTTTCTGGGCTGTCGTCACATCACTAGAGGAGTAATCATCATTTTCCCTACTAAAAATTGATTTAAACAAATCGCAATCATGTCGTTTCACGCGCGTCCCCCTTTTCCAGTCACAGCCACATCACATCGTTCTCCAAGCATCTGGGATCTTGTTCAGAATCAACTCCTGCCCCACTTTTGATCATCCCACTCCAGCACACATGGTTCATAAAGGCGTTTTCTGCGGGGAATCTCGTTTCATTAGTATACACTGATAATCATGATAATCTCGTCTTTTATCATTTTAGATTTGATATTAGTATACACAAAACACATATCGTTTTGATAAATCCTCTTTCAGTACTTAGCAGTTGGTAAGTACCAAATACCAAGCCCAGTTTGGCTCCATGTGGGATTTTAATTCGGTACTCCCCTGGCCGGCGTCCAACTAGTTGATCGTGTGCACGGTTACCAACTGTGCAAACATCGCATACACAAGGACATCCACATCATGAACAAGGGGGTGTGTCCTGAACTTGGAGGACCCCCGCAAAATGCCTTGAATGTATCTAATTAGTATTCTAAACATATATGTGTGTACGTATGCATGATGTATGTATGTATGTAATGTAATGTAGTGTAGCGTAGAGTAGCGTAATGTAATGTAATGTAGTTCAAAGGCTCCAATGATAGCAAATATTTCACACATTCAGCTGTGTACCCGTTTTTGGGGTACATTCGACATGTTAGAGCCAATGTCCTCAAAAAGTGGGTACATTCAAAATCCGATAATTTCCGATAGATTTCTATCAAATCTTGTGGGTAAATCCACAGGCAGATCACCGATCTTTTTCCCTTAAGCATCGAGATCAGGATGGCGTACTCTTAGTAACCACCGCATGATCATGCGAAGTTCTAAGGTGTTCTTATGCACCTTTCTTGCCAGCCGCTTACATTGGCCCAAAAAATCCTCATCGCCATAGCAGTGTGTTGCTCCTGAGCAAAGCAATTGAAGATCAAACAAGTCAAGGCAATAGCAAGTTTGAACAACATGTTGCACCATGCCGATGATTCATTTCTAAAGGCAAGATTCTTGGATTTTCCTTGAAGATTCGGGCTTCATGGCAGGATTCCAACAATGCCTTAGTCAAAAAAAAAGGTTTCACTTAACATCATCATTGGTGCCATGATCATTTCTGCCTGGTTGCGTGGACTTTCGGCTTCATTGGATATCGACGGCTGCTCAGTTGCACGTGGTGTTGTGCAAGAAGTCGATATGTCTGCAGAAACCTGAAGTGACATCAAGCATGTGTATATGCAAAGCCAAGTAACTGAAACCCTGTAGCATATATATATATATATATGTTCACTTTGCTCATCAGTTAAATCCAAAGGATAGACTTCCACATCGAGCATCCACGTGGACACTTGTTGAGTAGCAACTGTGATCAGGTTGAGATCCATGCCAGAATTTCCATGCTGTCTCTGCACAACTTGTAGGCACACAGCCATGAAGGCAGTAAACACCCGGCTAGCATAGGCCTTGAGCCGTAGCTCTGCCCAGTCCTCTTGATGCAAATGTGCTGTACCAATGTAGGTTTGCCCTGGGTTTATTGTATGCAGCCGGCACGAGTCGAGGAATCGGCGATTCAACAGGTGCATGGTATCGGTCATCGTTTGGGTGCCTTGGATGCCAACGCTTTGAAGGAAATAATCGATTCAGGTTTGAGGTGGATTTAGTGTTTTTTCTTGCAGTTGAGCTACAGAAGAAATTGTGATGGATTAAAGTCAACAAAGCACCAGCATTCACCCAATGACATAGTCCGAGATGAAGAGTATGCATCATGCAATATTTGACCGTCGTAGGTTGCCACCCAACTGTCATGCAGAGTGGATTGACATATTGTTTCCTTAGAAGTTCAGAGGATCAACCGATAGTGCATTCATGCATGAACTGCCTATAATTGTAAATAGACTATATATAATATTACTCAGCACCCAGAGTCAGGGCCATGTTGAAGAACTCATTGGTGGTCAGTCTTGGGGTGTTCTCGAAGTTCTGCAGCTTGACATACCTGAGAATGAAAGTTTGAGTTTTTTGCATGCATGAAGATTCAAGTTCGAGCTAGCTTAAAGCAAACAAGATATTGAAACGGCCCAGGCATTTCGTTGCTTTGCGTTTGAAGCATGTCCCACGTAGAAATTTCCAAAAATGTCGCAGGTCAAATGCCTCCTTGTGCCACTTCCAATCACCCCTGGTCAGGGACATGTTTAATTTTGATGTCCTTACTATGTTAAGTTGAAATTGTGCACGACACTAGGCCCAGCCTGACTTCTGTCAGCGTATAGGGCCCTCCAGATATGTATTTCAATGCCAAAGATGCCCTGCTGCCAGAAAATAATCGTCCTCGCCAATCCATCGAAGGAAACACGCCTCCATAGGCTACCTTAGCCACATGACTGAACAAACTATTTATATATAATTATATCAAACTGAAACATATACAGCACATATAATCATTATTCATACAAGTGTCATTGAATGACCATGCTATGACACGATAGATCGGATCCAAAGATCGATAGCCCAATGAAATTTCGTATCTCAATCCAGCAAGAAGTAGTCTCCGGTTGATGGCCATGTCATCTCAGATAGAGAATCCAAGCTGACCATATTGCTTCAGTGGGGGTTCAAGAAATACTGTCCCCACCAAAAAGAAAAAAAACGGCATTTCATAACTAGGCAACTATCAACCATCATAGGAGTTTTTCCCCGGTGTGATTCACGGCGACACTTGCGGTCAAACAGAATGGCTCATGCAGATAATGATAACTTTGCTGCCAGCCAAGCTGTACTTTGCATCATCACCTCCAATCCCAATGGCCAATGGAGGCCTTGAGCTGCAGCTGGGTGATGTGGCTTGTGCAAAGACCAAAGCCTCCAGAATTCTTGAAGTTCTTGAGAATCAACATGAAATTGATCAGTGGATGCCACATGATGCACAACCTCATGAAGCAGGATGACTGGGCACCGTAGATATCTGACACGATTCTTCTTGATCTTGTCTTTCACAGGGATGGTGACAAAAACTGGATCCTTGGGCAATGATAGGCCAAATTGATAAATCAAATTTCTTTGCTGTAGTAGACACACATATATATATATATAGAAAGAAAAAACATAAAGCCATGATTCAACAAGCAAGTTGATAAGTCGAAACAAATCTCGCTCACAGTTTTGGGGATTCGTTCCAGAGGTTCCTATCCTGGCAAACCGTTTTGTGAGTTCTGAACAGTTGCCATTACTTTCTTCAACCACACATTGTGCAGCCTCCTGTATCCCCTGGCAACTTTCAGCACCTTTACCCAAAGTCTTCAGCAGGTGATCCGCGAAAGCAGTGTTCTTCCTCGTCGTCCAATCGATGTCATTAACATTGGTAGCACCTGCGCAGCAAATAGAAACTGCATGTAATCAGAAATCCAAAGCGCACATGAGCACTGGATGCCATATGCGAAATGCAATGTAGGATGCATGCACCAATGAGTGACAACTGACCCAGCACTTCAACTCAGAGATCGATCTGGCCATGAATCAGGCCCCAAGAGCCATGCCCAACGGTTTTGACGGGTTCTAAGGCTACAGCTTGAGGTTCACAAGTGGGCAGTTCCCCAACATGGCACAACTGCTTGACAAACACTTTTGGTTGAGTATGAATCGCATTTAAATAACTTTATCAGAATAGACTAGGTCAAGTTCATGGTACAAACTGCGCACATTGTTCATGCCTTCACTGCCTATACCCCCAGGATACATTGCAGATATCCTTTGTACGGCCAAAAGATGCTATGAGCTTCGAACTGCTCCATTGTTTCGCATTGAAAAATTGTATTGGGGAGCCCAATGGCTTGGCATCATGATAGCACCAAACAGCACGAGTTTTTTCTTGGATGAAACAATAATGTATCATAATGTAGTTTTATCCAAAATCATCTGCCCAAGCTCCTGCTCAACTAGTCGAATTTGCTGCTGCAGCAGCCTTGGCCTTTGGCACGCTTGGCCTTTGGCAATGCTTTTTGCAATGCTTCGCAGCAGCTCGGTACTCGATCAGGTTCTTTGACGGCTGCTGGGTTTTAACACGAATTTCATCCTCAGATTTCCCCGATGCGACATCGGCTTCCAAGCTAACACGGTTCTGCTCCAGGTCACCCAAATGGTCGATATATTGCAATCATCCACCAGGGCTTTCAACATGTTGGCGGGCCTTAGAATGATAAAAGTTGGCATTGGGAATCACCACAACTAAGAAGGGTTCATGGCATTAAATATTTGAAAAAGATGCAACAGACATATTGGGGCTCCTGCGTGCCAGCAGCTTCCAATTTGCTCTTCCAGCTCTTGCATTCCAGAATAGCGGTGGAGGCATCCTTCATGACCTGACAAGGTTTGGTTACACATAAATTTGTATATTTGTTTGGTTGAATATGACCATGACATTGAAACACCAAATCTGCCTTGGTTGCTTCTTGCTGTGCTGTCTTAGCCTTTGGGGCCGGCTTCACTTTGGCTCGTGGCTTTGGCTTGGCTGCTGGCATGGTAGTAGCAGGAGTGGATCCACCATGGCACATCGGAATGGCACCCCTCAGCAAAAGAATGTGTGGAGCATTTAAATAAATAATGTAGATATTGGTTTATAATAGAATATATATTATATATATATGCCATAGCAATCACTCCGAACAAATGCAATGATTGAGATGGCATCAGATCAGCGGTTCTGGGGCTCCAACACCAAGTTCCCAGCAATCTTGCCAGCTCCAGCTCCTCTCGAGGTAATGCCAACAGACTCCACGCGGCGCTGGGCATCCTCTTCTTCACAGGTGGCCCAGACCCAATACTCGCAGATCCTGGCAGGATGTTTAGAGATATCTGTTTTTTGGGTAATGTGATTTCACACAAGCAGGATTGTAACAGGTACCATGCATACATCAGGGGCCAAGGTCGCGCACATCTCCATCAGAAACTCTTGATTCGACTCAAGGGCTTGGACACTGGCTGGATCAGCCACATCCAACCCTTTGAAGAAGGAGTGCTGCCTGTCATCCCTCAACTCAGCCATGAAGCTGCCACGGAGAGCAAAGGTCTCGACGACATCCTGCAAAGAAGAGCCTGGAGATTGTGTTCAAAAGCAGCAGCTTGTCCTGGATCATGGCACGCTGCACATCCATGGCCTCAGATTACTGGATCAACATCGTTATCCGTCACAGAGCAGTAATGCTGCAATGAAAATGCGAAATCAGCAACCAAGCACTGCCAAGGAAGGAAGAACATTACAACTTGACATCAGACAGCGCACACATGGGCTTCAGCACTGCAAGGCCAGGGTGGGGCACCTCTATCCCTTGAAGATGTTGATGCCACTGTTGAAGATTGCCCCCATGAACCTGTAGCAGCAGCCAAAAAACTAAGAAGAACTCATGGCTCCTAGGCACAACTCGTACTAAGTGGCGCACGTTTTGCATTTGCACGCCGCATCAGGGGGAACCACTTGAAGCAAACAGGCTGCAGGGCTGCAGGTTTCCAATAAACCCTTCCGATAGATTCCGCACTGTCCTCTTCTCAAGCCTACTGTACATTCCAATGTCCTCTTCTCAAGGGTACATTTCAATGTCAGTAAATATTCAAGGCATGGAGTGTCAGGGTAATGTATGTATGCTTGCTTGCTTGCTTGTTTGTATGTATGTTTGTATGTTGCATGTTTGTATGTTTGTATGTTTGTAAGTTGTATGTTTGTATGTATGTAATTATGTGCGAAACATTTGCCAATCCTTTAGAATTGGTACCCTATGTTCTATCAAACACTACATGACCAATAAACGTCCACAAGCCAGGTAGTACAAGCCCCTCCGACAACTAATGGAAAGAAAGATTGGTCATTGATCATGTGAACCTGCCCGCCCTCACCTTATCCGCGGGGAAGGATGCATTTGCGTCCCTCACATCGAGCTCAAAGAGGCCTCAGAAAAAATCAGCTGCTCACAGGACATGACACCTAAACTGGAGGTACATAACGGAGTTATCTAACAGTTGTAAAGGTAATAACAAGGTGTGTAAGGCTTATATGTAAATATATGTGCAAATGTGCCTGTCGTATGTGTGTATGTGTATGTATATGAATATATGCGAGTATGTAAATATGCAGGTGCAAATAGATAAATAAATAAACAAATAAATACATATATATATATATATAAATTATATATATATATATACTCATATTTGTATGATGTACTACAGTAGTACATATTGCCCCAAAAAATGCATGGTAAGTCATGGTACATCCACTTCGGATACCTAAATGGACCAGTGGAATACATGTGGATATATACATGCTCTGATGCAGTATTGTTTAAACAAAGAAAAAAACTCATGCACATGCATTTGCATCTAGATAGCTAGAGTGTCATTAATAGTTCATAGTGAGCTTATACGTAAGAATGGACAACCACATGTTGGTGCATCAGAAGGATTACCATACATACTGTATATGTATGAACATATCATATGTGTGCGCATGAACATATCATACCGTACACCGCTATACAAACAAAACCCATTATATATACAGTGACAGTACGAACATGTACCAAACATATCAAAAATGAGAGAACCTGACAGCAACGATTCGTGGGGAAAGACAACATGGCGTTGAACCGCCTGGGATCCACTTGGGTCCATGATAAAATGCTGGCAGCCCGAGATCGCTGGCATAGGTTGTCTATGGCCAACGTTGATCTCTGTCAAGACAAGACAATTTCAAAACACAATAGATACAGTATCAATAGATAATATGTAGAGAACCCAGCATTTGCACGCACAACAGTTGCAGTAGGTTCCCAAGACAAAATTTGCCCGAAGGTCACACACCAGAGAGTTCCTATTCCACATGTGTTGGGGGTTGCATCATCATGCATGTTGACACTTTGCTGGATTAGTTCTGAATATCTCCAATCATGTAGAGAAGCCAATTCAAACCCCGTATGCTGTGCAGTCTTAACATAGTGTGCCAATAATTCTCTCTGTTTGAATGCTCTGCATATTTTACATCAAAACTTGTTGCAAGATGTTGCAAGTTCAGACCCAGCAAGAATCGTGTTCTACGCGAGCAACCTTGAAGACTTCTGAAGGTTTCAGTGGGGAGGTAACGTGTCAAAATACCTGAGCCCTCTGACCCGCTCATGTCGTCACTTTTTTGTTGGCCATGCAATTTTAAGGCCCATTGTTGCTAACACTGTTCCTCAATTCTGTTGGTCGAAAATATATCCCACAGTGTGTGTTTTCCGGAAACAAAAGAATACAGTTTCACGAAGTCGGTTATATATAATATACTTCTATCCTGAAGTGGTTGAACTCCATTTCTTGAGGAATTCTAGGGGATATCCCATGACTTGATCATACTTGATCCTTGCCACGCTTGCCATGTGGCGTTTGAGGCAGTCGGTTCGTGAGGCTGCGGAGTGGATCATGATGGCCTCGTGACGTTGGCTGAAATCCCTGTCGTGTCTCATATTTTCTCAAATAAAGAAACTAAGAAATTCATCCATTTCCCCCACTTTTCCAATTGCCAAACAAACATGTATGTTTTCATATGTTTCCATATTTTTCCTCTTTATGGCTTTCCCCATGTGCCCCAAAAAGATCCATGATATCCATGGCCATGTCCCACCTGTGGCAGGTGCAATTTTTTGGCTTCCACCAGCTCAGCGATGCACCAAATCCGCGTCAGTAACGAGAAGTCGGGCTCCATGGCAACCACCTGCTCCAGCCTCACCTCAGCGGGGATTTGTAGTTGCTTTGCTAGAAATATATAAGTATATATGTGTGTATATATATATAATTGTATATATATATATATATATGTATGCATATAACTGTGTGTATATAATATACGTATTTATTTGTTTATCTATCTATTTATTTATCTATTTATATTCATTGCACATTCATGTAATATATGTTTATATAATGAATATGATTTGATATGATATGAAATGATATGATATGCTAATATATTGGGATTTCCTTGCAAAACACGACCTTGGGTGATGTTCCTCGGAGATTCTCCAGTTGAGGCGGGTCACTTGGAGCCAATCACCTCGTATCATTTCGATTCCCCTGTGCATAGCCCGGAGGGAAAAAACAACACCGTCTTACATTCACCAAGGCATTAGACGTTACTTATGTTCTTCCACTTCTCAGCAGCTCAGCCAAGGGGGCTTCCGAAAAATCCTGACGCAAGCGAAATTTCAGCAACGCCATCATGTGGTCGAATTTGTTCGTTTCCTGAGGCATAAACCAAGCGATGACGGGATCATTCTTAATGGCAGTATCGAAACGCTGCTGAGACAGATGCTGAAACAAAGCAAACCAACTATAGTTGAAACTTCTGATCTCTTGAAGGGGATACAAACACATTTGGTTTCACTTTTTCCTGCTGGAATGCATATCTATACGATTCTATGCGTATAGCGTTAATTAATGTGAATTAGCACTATTACAGAATATAAGTGATAATTAACTACCTGCATGTGTGCGTGTGTGCAAATTCAGGCCACTAAACATAAGGTGCAATTATCAGCTTATTAGCATACTACACACTCACAATACCATAGAATCACTATGAATCACTTAACATCCACACATAGATGCCCTAAGGCCCTCTTCACCTCCAACATCCACGGCTTTTGTTTGCCCCAGCGGCACTCAGATCGCCCTGGAAATGCTTGGCTGTGCAGCAGCTGCAGGGCTGAATGCTGTGGCCTGTGGAGTCCCTGGCATCGGGGCTCGCGCAAATCCCGGCGTGCTGATTCACCTGACGGACAACTGGGGAGCGGTTTGCCATGTCTCATCATCTATCCATTCTATCCATGGGAAATCATGGGAATTCAACCCCCCAAAGGCAACCTCCCAGGGTTTATTAAGCAGCTATCGTCAATGGGGGTCACCTTTGGGACCATCTTTCAGGGAGCCATGGTTTGACCTCAGCGGAAGGTGTCATCGTGCCTTTTCAAGTATCATCTCTTCTTCCTTCTACTAAACCCCTCAATAACAAAAACATAGGAAAGCTACCCCAGCTTGTTCGTCGTGGGAAATTTCATGGTAAATTTGATTTCAGTTGATCCCCTTTAGAAATCCATTTAAACATCAAGGTAGAATTTGAGGGTTTCACACACCTTAATAAAACTAGTTTAACCCCGGGGTCATTTTCATTAGGGTCCATCTTTTAAAATCGAACATGTGTTTTTCCAATTCCGTTTTTGAGGTAATAGTATTATATAAGGGAGGAAAGCTTCGAACAACCCTTTTTGGCAATGTGTTAATTAGATCTTAAAAAGGATTTTGATCGATTTTGAAATCGAAATTCTTAGTTTCTTTAGTTGAGGTTGTTTAAGTTTCATATTAGGGGAAAGCTTACCCTATTAGTAAATACCACCCAAAAATATCTAATAATAAAAGCTACCCGTAGCTTTTACTTTTTGAGGGGTTAGTATCAGGGAGAAGGGATTATTTTAGTATATTTTAGTTGCAGTCTATAATCTATATAATTAATCACGAAGTCAGACTGGTCAAACCAGGTGAGATCGGATGCCTTTGGCACAAAGCAGCTTCAATCTTGAGAATCATAAGCAAAATACTGGGGTCTGTAACTGCTGATTCACACCATGAGCAATCCTCCGCGATCGCACGTCCAACATCCCATGTCCCAACGACTACCCCCGCGGCGTTCCTTCCGATGTTCCAAGTATTCCAAGTGACCGAAAAGGCACACACCCAATAGGCCACATCCAGCTTCATCCGGCGATTCAGCGCCTCGCACAACTCTTCAAATTTCTGATCCTTCAGAAGCTGCATCACCTGCAACGAAACGCCATGGAAAAAACTGAAACACCGACACCGGTTCTGGCCATGGAAACTCGTCCATTTCTATCCATTTCTATGTTTTGTCCATTTGTAGATGATGTTGACCAAATATATCCAAATATGTATACATATATATATGTGTGTATATATATATATAAATATAAATATATATATATATGTGTGTGTTATTAGTCAAAGTTCATTACACTTAAACGATCATTTTCCATTGCCATGCTTTAAACTGGAGGCGGCTATAGTTGGTGTCTTGTACTACACTCCAATATTGCACACATCAACACTTCAACATCTTGAAGAATTGTCTCAGGGCCCAAACAATTCGCCATTGATTAGTTCGAAGATACAGATATTCAAAGTACAACATCACTTAAGTACACTTATCCTCTTCATTTCGCCATTGCTAAAAACAACCTCTAATGCCTACCATAGCCTACCCTTCACCGCCGAAAAACACCCTGGTTGCCACTGCTATAGTCGAGCCACGCTGTCGTAGAGCTGCGAATCCAAGGCATCAGCAATGATGGCAGCGAGTAAGAAACCTCTCTGCACCAGGCTGGGGCTGGCATTTTTTCCTCTAACCAATGGATTGGTTTCAGAGAAAATCCGCAGGAAACCACGGTTACCGTGGCTTTTACCCCCGAAAATAGGGGTAAAAAACAACAGTTTTTACAAACCATTTCTGGGATCTTAGCATTGGTAGATCTTCGCCTTGATTTTTTCACGGTGACTTCGAGTTTTGGCTATAATTCTACGCTACATGAACTAGCGAGATCATCCCAAAAGACAAACACCACCGGTGGTTCAAACAGGTCAGTGCTCATCCGAACCAACCATGAATGACCCAGACTTGACAGTGACTTTCCATGTGCTCGTGAGCTATCCCCTGAATCAAATATGCATACAACACATATGCGTGGGAACATACATATATATATATATATATTCACATGTAGCATACGTATTGAAATATGTATGTATGTATGTATGTATGTATGTATGTATGTATGTATGTATGTATGTATGTATGTATGTATGTATGTATGTATGTATGTATGTATGTATCTGTCTGTCTGTCTGTCTGTCTGTCTGCCTGTCTGCCTATCTATCCATCTATCTATCTATCTATCTATCTATCGTCTAGCAGCACTTCTACCTTCTACTTATATAATCTTTTATCATCTTATATCTATATAGCATTCATAGAGAGAGAGAGACAGAGAGAGAGAGAGAGAGAGAGAGAGTGAGTGCAACCCTCAAAAAGGATAGAAAAGCTAGATCCCCATTAAAATTGTGGCAAGCACCGATCGCACACATTTTCTATTTTTTGGTGGTCGCTGAACTTGCATCCGTTTCTGTGCCTATTCTTAGTTTGCAAGTCTATTTCTCATATCATCATAAGACTGAAACATACCACCACATAAATTATATCGGTCACATCAGCCAACCAACCATCAGATTCAGATGCATCACAATTCGTTGACCATGTTTCATGAGAACCCTTGACTCCACAAACAAGTGTCAATTCTCACCTGATATAATGCAGCCTGGTGAAGACTGTTTCTCAGCCTCAATCAGCCGTTCTGATTATTGTTACATGGGAAAAAAGCTTTTTCTTATTGTCGCTTGAAGTAGCGCCACTATGTGAAAAATTGGGCTAATCCTGTTAAGGCAACCTCAACAACCATGATTGCTTCCCAAGTGCTTGTCATCTTTATCAATAAATGAACATTGGGTAGTCACCGGCAAGAAGCTGAATTTGTTTCGCCAGCTGTGCGTCACCATCTTTTGCCCCAGCTGTGGCTGCCCCATGTTCACACAGGATGCATAGGCATAACCTGCACTGAAAGGGTCAGTCCAAACAACTGAAAGGGTCACCAAACACAGGGATTTTCACTGATTTTTCATGATCTTCCCTGCTTATAAAGGGTGCTGATGATGATTGAAATTGATTGGATGATTGCAAACTTCAAGGATCATCCTTTTCAGACATTCATAGTCGATGCTAGTCGCATTCCGGCTCAGGCTCAAAGACCCCTGGGCATCCAGAGTCCAAAAGCCCACCAAAATTTCAGCAGTACCTTGACTTGATGTCAAGAAAACCATCTCTCTCTTGACATTGTGGGCAAAGAAGATTCAAAAATCCATCGAACATGAGCCATCGGTTCCAAAGTAATCCACGGAAAATGTGAACCCAACGCCTCCAAATCCTCCAAACATAGGCACCCGAATCTCCGGTATTCCAGGTTGAAACTAAAAAAAACATGTCCAGTCCACCAATGCCCCACCTGGCAGGGGTTCCGGTTGATCAGCGATAGCCTCAAAGCACTCACTTTCCCCCCGAAAATGTGACAGTTGGAGACTAAGATTGTGCTGGATTTTTGTTGGTGACATTTTTGGCTGGGGCAATTTTGGGGGGGAGAAAAAGGAAGGCCCAGGCCCCGGAAGTGCCTAGGTTGCGTTTTCCGATTCCAGTCTGTTCACTGCTCCCCCCACTCTCAAAATCTCTCAAAAGCCATTGGTTTTATTCCAATTAGCTTGGTGCTAAAAAATGTTCACAGCACTTCCTCGTGGCTAAAAATGCAAAAATTCAAATCATTCAGGCAAAAGTCTATGTTGATCCATATTTAGCATGTTGATTCTCCTCTGCGTTTCTTTAAGGGAGGGGACTGTTGTGAGCGGCAGAAAATTGAGATAAATGGCATTTTTTTGCAAATGCTAAATAAAATTAATCCAGATATGACCAGGTTACACTTTTAGTCACATACTTTTCACCCAACTATGTGCTCAAAATTGCCATCAATCAATAAGGTTGGGTTTTGATTTAAAAATTCTTGGATATAATAATCTACTTCCATGCGATTCCCATGCAAAATCATATTAAGAATTCTTGTTTAAGAGTCTCCTTTATGAATTATGTTGTTCTTATCGAATGCAATTAAGTACGTAAATACATCAGAGCAATAAGGCAAAGGATCATAAATGTAAGAGCACAATTCACACATGAAAATATTGAAACATATTTGCACCTTAATATCCTTGAAATAGTTGCACGAACCTTTCCACTATCCCTTGCAAAATATCACGGTTCTTCTAAAAGATGCACGGTGCCCTTAAAGAAGTTTTTACAGCCTTCCCTTGGAGGGGAACATTTTTTCTACAATATGTAGCATGAATTTAACATAGTGCATTCCTTTTCTAAAATGCAGAATTGAATGCGCACAGAAGTATGCCCGGTCCCCAGCTTGTAAAGAACATGTTTTTATTAAGTTGTAAATTTCCTGTGAGAAAGTACAATGTTTGTTCAACAAACAATACCCGTACAAATTATGCAGGAATCCTCTAAAATATGCAGCATTTGTTTTGAAAAACGCATTTTTTTCAACTGATGTGGTATCCCTTCGAGTAGGCAATATTCCTGTGCCATATGAGGCGTGTTTTTCAATTTACAGCCACCTTTTTAACATGCAGAATTCATGTCACAAAGTGCAATATCCAATGCATCAACGCAATATTCCTTAAAATATTGGAAGATGACTATGTTGCTTGCACATGACAAGCACTCCACCATAAGACAATACAGTATCCTTTTCAATAAACCATGTTCCTGCAAAAATAGAAGATAATTTTCTTCAGACATGCAGTATTCCTGTTGAGAAGGTTCAGTCTTCATTGTTTGCTGTTCCTTAAGAACCAGTTTTTTCTCTAAAGGAACTTGTTCATTTATTCAATATGAACGAGTTGTGCACTCTTCTTAATCGATCGTGTCCATCATTTTTGCAGGAGGTGTTTTCCAAAGTAATGCCTTCTGCACGAAGGGAAATGCATATTATTTCAGAAAGAGCGCAAAAGGGCTATATACATTTTGGAATAAAGTTCCATTGTCTTGGGGGAATATTGTGTATCCCTCAAGGAGTTCATAGTTTTTAAAGATAAAAAAAAACTTTGCACACATTCTTCAAGGAATACCATACTTTTTTGATACAAGGACCATTACATAGGCAAAAAAAATCCATCTTGAAATTTGGAATTTTGTTTTAACGTTTGAGGAAATCTTACACAGTTTTCAAGGAGATGATGCATTTTTGGAAGAAACATCTTTCTGATAGTTATAAACATTCACTTCAAAGAATGCCATGATCGCAAAAAAACACAAGGGTGTTTTAAGGGTGTTTGCAAATGGATCTTAATTTGAAATGGTGTTGGAATCTGTTAGCAGAAGGCGCCATACAAAAACACCAAAGATTTGGCAACTAGTCTAGAGGTCAGAGTAGTTGTGGAAACATTGTTTTCTTTGTTTTTTGGTTCTAGATTAATCATGATTAATCTGGGTTAATCTGGATTAATCTGTGCAGTCAATGCAGAGAAGTGAAGGCAGATGTTGGAAACAAATGTGTGTAATTGGACAGATGTAGGGCAGATGTAGGCAGATGACTGATGTAGTGTAATTCCGTGGTTCCATGACATGTGTCAGAAACAACTCTTGTGAGGGCAAGTAGTAGGAAACTATTCTGATGAAACTATTCTTCCCCAAAACTTGTGGATTTTTCCGCTCACAACAGTCCTTTCCGTTCTTTCAAGATCCCTAGGTCCTTCCCCTCTCCCCGCCTCCATTCTCTCCGTTCTCTCCTCCGCAGGTTCTTCCAGGATGCAAATCCCCACGTTCCGCAAGTCTGGCGGCGAACTTCGGGGCGTATGACATAGATCTTTTAAATTCATGTATATATGGTAGGTACCTCCAAGTTTAAGTTCCTGAAATGGGGACTGAAATCTCTATGTCGATATCCACAAATCCATGTATCTATAATTATCTAAATATCCATATACATACATACATACATACATACATTACATACATTACATACATTACATACATTACATACATTACATACATTACATACATTACATACATTACATACATTACATACATTACATACATTACATACATTCCATACATTACATACATTACATACATTACATACATTACATACATTACATACATTACATACATTACATACATTACATACATTACATACATTACATACATTACATACATTACATACATTACATAATTATATATTTACACATTACATACATTACATACATTACATACATTACATACATTACATACATTACATACATTACATACATTACATACATTACATTCATTACATACATTACATACATTACATACATTACATACATTACATACATTACATACATTACATACATTACATACATTACATACATTACATACATTACATACATTACATACATTACATACATTACATACATTACATACATTACATACATTACTACATTACATACATTACATACATTACATACATTACATACATTACATACATTACATACATTACATACATTACATACATTACATACATTACATACATTACATACATTACATACATTACATACATTACATACATTACATACATACACTACACACATTACACACATTACATACATTACATACATTACATACATTACGTACATTACATACATTACATACATTACATACATTACATACATTACATACATTACATACATTACATACATTACATACACTACATACACTACATACATTACATACATTACATACATTACATACATTACATACATTACATACATTACATACACTACATACATTACATACACTACATACATTACATACATTACATACATTACATACATTACATACATTACATACATTACATACATTACATACATTACAAACATTACATACATTACATACATTACATACATTACATACATTACATACATTACATACATTACATACATTACATACATTACAAACATTACAAACATTACATGCATTACATACATTACATACATTACATACATTACATACATTACAAACATTACATGCATTACATACATTACATACATTACATACATTACATACATACATACATTACATTCATTAAATACATAACATACATACATACATACATACACAGACATACACAGACATACACAGACATACACAGACATACATACATACATACACACATACATACATACATACATACATTACATACATTAAATACATTACATACATACATACATACATACATACATACATACATACATACATACACACATACATACATACATACATACATTACATTACAATACATACATACATTACATTACAATACATACAATACATACATACATACATACATACATACATAAATACATACATACATACATACATACATACATTACATACATTACATACATTACATACATTACATACATTACATACATACAGACATACATACATACATACATACATTACATATATACATACATACATACATACATGCAATGCAATGCAATGCAATGCAATGCAATGCAATGCAATGCAATACAATACATACATACATATATTACATTACATACATACATACATACAGACATATATATATAATGCATTTGTTTATTTAATTTGTTTATTTATATCTGTATAATACCCAAAATTATCCCTATATATCTATATACCTATATCTCTATTATTATTTTTTGTATCTATTTATATATTCTATATTTACATCTGCCTATGTAAGTCTAATTAATTACTTTTACGTGTGGTGTCTCTGCACCTAGCTCTTTGCCAGGCTGTCCTTCTACCCTTCCATCCATCTTGTGGGGCCAGCACCCTTGCCAGCACCGTTGACTGGCCGTCCCTGCACCTTCGTCCAAGCCCGGAGTGTCGCGGCAGCACCACTGGGAGGAAGATTCGCCGTCAACAGCTTCTAGGCTTCTGCTGAAGACACCTTTGGAGGCTGCAATGGCGCATCCTGAGCCAAAACATGATGGAGTCTTTGGTGTTTGGCCATATTTTCAGGGGGGTCCAAAAATGTGGTTCTTATTTTTTTTCCTTGAGATCAGCACAATAAAAACTCCAAGGAAGTCTGCCTGGCTCAAACCGTTGCACATTCTAAACATGAAGCCGCTAGTACTTGCTTGTGTGAATTCTGCTGTGACATGCTGTGAGGAACTGAAAGCCGGTCTTTCTAAGAGGAATGCTGTATATCCACATTATCTCCCAGGGAATGCATTGAACACACACATCATTCAATCTATTTGTGTTGACTCTTTGGGGGAATGGAGTAAATTTAGACGAATGCCACAATTCCTCGGATGCATCATCTACTCCGTCAGCATATAAATACCGCTTCCTTTTTTTTTGACTGGGCCATACTTTCTGACAGAAAGATTGCCCTTCGTCAAGTGAATGCAGGATGTGCTTCAAAGAATACTGCGCTTACAGAAAAAGTCTGGCAAAACCCAACCACTGGGCCACATGAATGAAATCGACTGACCCCACAATCACACCCTGGTTGGGTTTCAATCCAACCCAAAATACCAGTAGTACCGCACAAGGCGGCGGCGGAAGTTTCAAAAATGGAAAACCTATAGGAGAGGTGAGTTGGTGTGACGCAAAAATGGCAGAGCGAACCCACTGATGGATTGAAAGGTGGTTGAGTGTTTCTCCCTTTCTGTCTCTCTTTCTCTCTGTGTCTCTCTTTCGCCATCTATCTACAGAAGTGCTGGCAGGCCGGGTGCGGCAACTGAATGCTGCACTGACTCAATGCTGGGTGACTTCTCCGTGGCGGCGTCAACATCAGTGCTTGAAATACGAGGCCTGTAGCAGTCCGATACACACACAAACATAAAGACTGTCCAACCGGCTGTCGCAGCTCAATGCTGCATTGAGTCCAGTCACTCTGGTCGAAAGAAACACATGTGCCTTCTTCATGCCGGCATAATAATAAGTGCAGCACCCAAAACGGTGGCGACCGTCCGGAAAAAAAAACACACACTGTGCTGCCGGGGGCGGCAGCACCATGCACTGCTTTTTGCTCGGCTGCTAGGATTCGAGACATCTTTGCCGGCGGCCAGAAAAAACACACCGACAAGAGTTGCTTCGTCGACGGATCTGTGTAGTGAGGTCACAAACACCGGATGCGGCAACTCAATGCTGCACTGACTCAATGCTGGGTGACTTCCGCATTGCCACGTCAACATACGTGCACGACAAATCGAAATATGAAGCCTGCAGCGGTCCGAGAAAAAAAATCCTACCGGGTGTCGCAGCTCAATGCTGCATTGAGTCAAGTCACTCTGGTCAGAAAAAACACAAGTGACTTCTGCATGCCGGCGTACACATCCATGCAATAAATGAGAGGCTGGCAACAGTCAGGAACATCAACATCCATGCTGTGTTGTTTCCAAACCACCTGTGACTTCGTCAGCACGGCGTATGCATGCATGCTACTCATCACATGTTCATAGCGCCTGAAAAGTTACGTGAAGCCAGATCTCTCTGATGCCGTTAACAACGACTAAGCCTATGCGCTAACTCCATCCATGTCTCTCTCTGTTTCTGTCGCTATCTATTTCTCTATCTATCTTTCTACCTACCTACCCACCCATCTATCTCTCTATCTTTTTATCTGTCTAGCTACCTACCTACCCATCTATGTCTCTGTCTGTTTTTCTATGTCTCCATCTATGTATCTATCTATCTATCTATCTATCTATCTGTCTGTCTATCTGTCCATCTATCTAGTAAACTATCGATCTATCTCCCTATGTGTCTATCTATGCATCTATTCATCCGTCAAGTTCTCTCTCCACCTGTCCTTCGATCTACCTCTTGACACGTCGATCAATCTGTCTAACCGCCACGTCGACAACAAAACAATGCTGCTAGACTTCTGTTGGCAACATCAAAAACGAAGCAATTCTGCGAGACTCTCTCACTTTTTGCAGTTGAAAACATCAAAAACGAAGCGATTCTGCGAGACTTCCTTCAAAAATGGAAAGTTGACAGTACAGCTGACGGCCTCGTACCAATGCGTTTTGCGATTTTTCTATGCCGTGTCTCTAAAGTACTGCGCCTGCCACGAAAAAGTTAGTCCAGGTCATACGAAATGCTGCACCTGTCACGAAATAGCATCTTAAAACGCTACATGGAACAAATGAGGACTTTCATGTTACATATGTTTATCCCCGAAGATCCTAGGAACATTGATATATGATATATATATAAATAGATACTGTATATGTATGAGCCGCCATCAAAATCAATTGTAAGTTAAATATGTTTTTTTTGAGGAGGCCCTATAGCTTTACAGTGTTTTGTTCAAATCAACACTGACTAATGCAAAAATGCAGCGGAATTGGCTTCACAGATTCAGATCTCTAAACTGCCGGGGAGGATTAAGGGTCGCTTGTTGTCTTTGCGGTTGCAACCATGTTGGGGAGCTATCTAAGCACATTCCTGGACTCTTTCCTAAGCAAGGACATTCATTACAATCTCAACTCTGAACTAGAAAGACAGGGGTCAATTAAGATCAATGGTTCCCAACGTTTATAAGACCACTAACTCTATGAAAACAAAAAAGGGTCACCTTGCCCTTGTTCCTCTTAATAAGCTTTAGAATTTGAAGATGGGACCTCATCATTCCAATAAAGAAGCGTTCGTAGCTATGAAGAAGCGCATTAGGCTTCCCAAGTCTGAAAACAACCTGATGGCCTAGTGTTGAGAACCTGTTCAGTTT